AGCCCTAAAGTCAGCTAAATTACATCTGAGAATTGGGAATCCATTTCCTTCCAGAAATTATTCACAAAAAGAAACAAAGCCTAGATTGTTCTAAGCATCTACAAGTCTCCAGCATGTTATTGTTGGAACCACCATTAAAACTGTACTCAGGGATCATAACTTGTGGAAACAGTTCCCAATCAGAAGAAGTAAGCTGAAAGCAATCAAACTGTTACATAATTAGACATTCTAAGTCCATATCCAAATTTAGCATGCCACAGAGTCAAAGGTACCCCATGGAGCAATTTTTTAAATCACACAGTACTGACCTAGCAATCTATGAGTGATTTCTCCATATTCACATCCAGTAATACATTACCAAACGGAGAAATCCTTTCCAGTCTTCACTAAATATATACTGAGCACCTCCCACTGCAGGGATGGGGCACCGGGGTGTAAGCAATAGAGAGCTCAAGTCCTTGTTTTCCAATTTAGCATTAGGAGGATTCTGATGTTATGCCCCCAATTTAGCAGGCAAAGGAGAACTCAAGAATTTCCAATCTGCAATGAAGCACTTGTCATTCAGTACTTTCAGATATGAAAGGTCATTATTATTGAACAAAAACAGAAGTTTCTAAAACAATCTTGAGAATCTTTTTTCATATTCAACTTTGGCCAGTAGAGGCCAACTAATTAACTCCGTTAGTTCACCTCATACAGAGTAAGGCTGATAATAAAGAAATCATTAAATCTCTATTTCTAAGAAGTTTGTCTGTGTGCCCAACCTCATACAGAGTAAGGCTGATAATAAAGAAATCATTAAATCTCTATTTCTAAGACGTTTGTCTGTGTGCCCACCACTTTCACCCCACTAGTCACTGTTAGCAAAGAAAATGAAACCTTTCTCAGCAAAAATGCAGTTGTGGGCACGGAGGGGAAGTACTGACAGTCTAAATAATGGTTACATAAACATTGCTCTGTAAACCTCATGTTCTTTCTAACTTTGGAAAGGTCAAGGATCCTTGTAACTCAAAAGGAAACTATAGGAACACTATGACCCTCATGAGCATGCTATTCTGCATTGAAATCTATTCAAGACTAATTTCCACACCAGGACAAATATTCATATTAAAGAGAAAATTCCATAGTTCTCACATCAGGGACTCATGGTCCCAATTAGACAATTCAATTATTGGCCTTAGGAAGAGTACTTTTAGTATAGCCACTTAGAAAAGTCCATAAAAACTGATTTTAACGAGTTACTTCTCAATTTCCCTATCTCATTTCAAATAGTATCAGGTCCTTACAAATGTGGCTACAGCTTAAGAGAGAAAAAGACAATTTTTCACAAGCTCATTTTTCATCTCATTCTGCAACTTCCTCCCAATAATTAGGGAGAAATAAAAATGTGTCCTCTAGAGACATATCTCATTTATGCTTTACTTTATTGCTCTTTGCAGATACTGCATTTTTTACAAATTGAAAGTTTGTGGCAAGGATGCCCACTATCACCATCCTATTCAATATAGTCCTGG